ACAAGGTCATGCAAGTACATGTTAGCCTGTAATGGCTGCTAAAATGGGGTACTGGTCACTACATTCCCCCCTTCTCAAAGTACCCAAGACAGGACTCAATCCTGTGTCCTGCCTGTTAGGGGCTCAAAGGGGTGTTAACAGGCCCTGCCATTAGCCAACAGATTTTTCTGAGGGAGTGACATTTGTATCTATTATACTGTTCCCTATGTAAGGGAGTTTCCTTTTGAGTTAGCATATCAACCAGGGAAAAGGGGGTGATATATTCTTTCCAGTGCTACTTCCTGCTGACTTTGGGACGCAGTTAGGGGACCCAAGAAGGCTGAAATGCAAGTCAAAAGCAAAAAGGGAATTCAGGCAATGGGGTATCTTATCAGGAGCAGCTGATTGGCAGACTCTGTTGAAGAGACAGGGGGTGTCCACATCAGCTAAACTGGTTCACATCTACAGCAAGTCCAGGATTGCAGTCTTTAGAGCAGGCTGTAGTCAGCAACTGATGCTCAGATGAGTCTGCCAGAAGTGGAAACCTGTTTAAGACATTTTAAAACTGGGAACAGAAGTTAAAGCTTATGTATTTAATTGGAACTCTTTAGACCCATTGTATTAGTGATCAGGAATGGCAGGAATTTTATGACCAGGAGAGAAAATCCCATCCTCAGGAACAGACAGGTGGGATAACATAGGCTATACTTATCTGGAGTCCTTTTGACCTGTGAGAAGTGAATCCAAGCTGTATAACTTTTGATCCTCTGAAGCCTATGTAAATTTTATTATACAAAAGGACATAAAGGTTATAGACATATTAGCATTATCAATCGGTACTGAAATCTACATTGCAGAAAAAGCAGATATCTGGGTATCTTTACTTTTGAGTCCTAGCAGAAACTACAGATTTGGGCTAGAAGCATGTACATGTGTTTTCTGTCCAGAGAGCCAGGTATCTTTGGCCTGATGAAAATCCCTTTAAGCTTATACTTCGATGACAACCAAAATAAACCTAAAAACCTTGAGCTTATGATTGAACAGTAGATCTTACATTTTTACATCTTCTGATCCTTATTGAGGAGCCATATTAAGGCTTGATTTTTACATAAATAAAATGGGCTACCAAGCTGACTATAGTCTTGTGGATTTGGCTGCCTGATGTTGTCAAGCTGACAACCATTAATACTTTCAGAGATCTGAAAAGGATAAATTTTATACAGTTTCCGAATCTATTAAAAAGTGACAGGTACCAGTCCATATACAGCCATACCCAAGTGTCCTCCATTAGCATTGGAGGCACACGTATCAGGAACAGCATCAATCTTCACTAGGCCTGTAAGTTGAGAGTTTTCTTTCTCTCTGTGGAAGAGGGACATGGAAAAGACTGACCTTGTTTTGTCTAGGCAAGGAGGTGCAATCAATTTTCCAGTGTCCAGCAGCTTTGTCTAGGTCAGGTCCTGGCAGGCAGGTGTTGTGTTTGAGCATGTCACTCCCTGGTCAGCGTCGACACAATCCAGGTGCAGGAACTGGGGTATCACATAATCTTCTTTGGAGACTTTGGGTCACGGTTAGGATCTGGCAGTCTGTCTGATATTATAAACTTTCAAATTAACATTTTAAATGCCATGTTCTGCAGGTCTCTGAAGCACTAGAGGTTTGTCTGCCTTTAGCTTAACTGTTGAAAATATAAACTCTATTAGCAGCTTTTATAAAACTAGAACTTTACACTGTCAGGTTTAGCTTTAAAAAAAAACAATGATTTTAAATTCAAACTCTTAAGTATAAACATCAACAGTGAAAACATTTTAAAAGCATAAATATCTTATAACCTTGTAAGTTTAAAAAATTTTTAAAAACTGTTCTTAAAAAAGAAATTTAAGGGCCAGGTGGTGGTGGCACACGCCTTTAATCCCAGTACTTGGGAGGCAGAGGCAGGTGGATCTCTGTGAGTTCGAGAGTAAGCCTGGTCTACCAAGCGAGATCCAGGACAGGCTCCAAAACAATACAGAGAAACCCTGTCTCCAAAAACAAAAAACAAAAAACAAACAAACAAACAAAAAAAAAAGAAATTTAAAAATCCCTTAATTTTCTTGTAATATTAAAAATCAAAATACCCTTTTTGTCTTAAAACCATTATTATCTGGACTGCTGTTAAATTACAAAGCTTAGCATTTCTGTGCATAAAAGCATTAACATTTTAAATCTGAATTTAAAAAACTTGTTTATAGGATGGTACCTCATAAGTTTCATGTGGTCACCTTCAGTCAAGATGGTGGATCAGGTATCTCTTTTAACCTTAGCAAAATGGCTACCAGCCAGCCATGTGGCCAGCTTGCCAGTGACTGACTCCAAAACAAAATGGTGGCCACCTGCACCATTTTTGCTTTAGTTCTATAATCTAATAAAATTTAGATTATTCCAGAAAACACAGATAGAACTTTTTAACGAAACAAGCATATATAATCTTTTGAGAAATAATCAGAACTTTTAAAACAGAATTAACTTAATGATCAAAATTTTAACTTATATTACCAATTTTTAAAATTTAGCATTTGTAGACATGAAACCCCACAGTAAACAGTTGCATTTCCCCTTTTCTCTTGTGGTTATGATAACTTTAAGGTCATTCTCTTTCTGTGGAAAGACCGGATCTGGCAAAACTTAGCTTACCTGCGCCAGCCCTGTGTGCTCCGGCTGGGAGCTCTGGTGGAGGGAAAGCTGACAGATGGCTCCTTTGCCAGCTCGCCATGTGCTTCGGGCTACATGCCACCACATCTGCCCAGCTGCTGGACTTTATAGAAAAGGTGTGTTTAGTTTTATAAACTGCCAAGAGCCATTGGAATCCACTGACCCACTTTGTATTGTCATCACCCATGGATGAGAGAACCTGCCCTTGACACCCTGGTAGTCAGGGTCATCAGCATGTTGGAGATTAGCCATTCCGATGGCTGGCTATCTATCTATCTATCTATCTATCTATCTATCTATCTATCTATCTATCTATCTACCTACCTACCTACCTACCTACCTACCTACCTACCTAAAACCTGAGTGTTGGTGTTAAAGGCATACACCATCCTGCCTGGTCTGCTATTTCTATCTTTTAAATTGGTATGCTTAATTTCTCTTTCTTTATTTCTTTCTTCCTTTCTTTCTTTCTTTTTCTTTTTCTTTTTTTGTTTTTGTTTTTCGAGATAGGGTTTCTCTGTATGTTTTGGAGACTGTCCTGGAACTCGCTCTGTAGACCAGGCTGGCCTCGAACTCACAGAGATCCACCTGCCTCTGCCTCCCAAGTGCTGGGATTAAAGGCATGCGCCACCAATGCCCGGCACTTATTTTCTTAATGTTAAGGCATTCTTTAGATTCATTTTAAATTGTTCATTGACAGTAGACTATCTTTTCCTTCACTACTTCCCAGTTTTCTGTCACTGTGACCTTTCTTCCTGAAGATGTATCTCAGCTAGAGGAGGTCCCCTTCTCTGCAGGCAGAGGCCAGTCGAGTGCTGCAAGTGCAATTGAGAAGGGGGAAATAGGAACATTCTGTATATTTCATGCTTAAAAGCAGTAAACTCGACAGACACATTCTCTTTCCTGACTCTAGATTTGCCTGAGAAATGGTAAGCAGAGAGGCTCAGCAATGTATCTCTTGAACCAAATGCACTGGAACACTATTAATGAGTGTGAGAAACAATAAATCACACGGCCTACACATCTGAGTATCTTGCAAGCATTTGCCCTCCCCCGTTTTGAAGTGGCAATGATGGATCCAGATTTGATTGCAGCTTAAAGCATTGAGCAAACGGGGTGGTGGTAGCGGCGGCGGCACACACCTTTAAATCCCAGCACTCGGGAGGCAGAGGCAGGCGGATCTCTGTGAGTTTGAGACCAGCCTGGTCTACAAGAGCCAGTTCCAGGACAGTCTCCAAAGCCACAGAGAAACAAAAAGCCTTGAAAAACCAAGAAAAAAAATTGCGATGAATACTTTCTCCAACGATGACATAATGATTAGATAGTATGATACAAATTTAGCTTTATCTATATCCCCCCCCCAACAGTGTTTCTTTTCTTCGTTGGTTGTCCAGGAAGTTGGTAAAGCTAGCCTTGAACTCAAGAGACTCACCTGCCTCTGCCTCAGGAGTGCTGGGACTAAAGGCACACGCCACGACATCCTGCCTATTTTATTTTTTTAAAAACCATCTATCTTAACTCTGGCAGTGGTAGTGCACGCCTTTAATCCCACATCCTGCTTATTTTATTTTTTTAAAGACTATCTATCTTAGCGGGGAGGTGGTGGCGGATGCCTTTAATCCCAGTACTTGGCAGGTAATTTGTTAAACAGTTTTCATACATTGGCTATTCAAGGTCGCAGGGTCTGCTTTCAAATTTGGTGTATCTAGGGCTACAGTGATAAATTCATAGCCATTTTAAAAACTTTTCTGAAGACTTCTGTTAGACTGTGGCAGCTTCCGATGCGCGCTAGCTTCTCTAGCACTTTGCAGTGATCTTTCTACAAATACTTGATTTAGGCTAGTCCGAAGGTAGTGAGTTATCTCAACTGATTGTTCACCATCAGTTACAAATAGTTGTTTTGTGCTAGTATACCAGCCTCAAGGAAATGAAACTTTACTAAGAAAGTCCCCCCTTGTACCAATATAGAGAAAACATTTTTAACATCAGCTAAACATTCTCAGAGTTACATACAAGTAAGGGAAAAGACAGCGCCTGCAAAGACGGGGCAGAATTTTATGCAAAATTATGGAGGAAAATAGAACAACTGAAACTATTTTGTGAGCGACGCTTATTTCAGCATAGCCCAGTCTAAAATAGCTGAATGGAGGCAATTAGAGGCTGGGCCACGGGTGAGGGTGGGGCCTCAACCGGAGGGGCTGAACCAGAGGGGAGGGGGGATCGCCGCCACAACGACGCTGGCGGGGCGGGGCGGGGCGGAGCGGGGGCTCTGGGCGGGGTCGTAACAGTAGAGGCGGGGCTACCGGGGTGGGGGAGGTACGGAAGCCGAGCAGGTTCGTCGCCTGGGCTGCCGACTTGTTCGTTCAGCGCTGTTGTCGCAGTTCCGGCCGAGCGTTCGCTGAGTTCTGGCGGCTGGAGGCTGCTCTGCCGGCAGGCACCGGTAGCGGTGGGTGTTCCGATCCGCCAGCCCAGCTCCTGCGGGATCCCCGGCTGGCCCGGGCCGCCGCACTCACGGCGGCTCCGCCACAGGCGCCGAGCGAGCAGCAACCCGCGTCCGCCGAGGTCGGCGTCATGAGGATCCTGCCGTTCTTCTGCCGCGGCGAGGTGGTGCGTGGCTTCGGCCGCGGCTCCAAGCAGCTGGGCATCCCTACGGGTGAGCGTCTCGTGGGGCCGTGGAGCTCTGGGCCAAGGGGCAGGGAACAGGGATCCCGGGCAGCCGCGCTCTTGCCGCTGTCGCCGAGCTGCGGAGCCCGGTCCGGGAAGGTACTGCAGGATGAATTGGCCGAACTCTCAAACTGTTCAGAGTTCTATCCTTCAGATGATAACTGTGTAGTGATCAGTGACAGCAGGGGTAGTTCTATGCGAGCCAACGTTTATTTGGTCTCACTACATGTAAGGTTTGGTAATCAAGACTTTACTGCCCGTCCTTAAAGATGATACCTAGGCTGTTTCTTGACCCATTGAATTTGGGATTTGGGTTTGTGTATTTTGAAAATAAGAATCTGTTTAAGTGACTCAGCCTACTTAGGAGCGTTACTAGGAAAGAGGTGGGACTTTGTTTTAATTCTAACAGACGGGGTTTGGCTGTTTCCCAGGCTGCCAGTCCACTTCCTGAGCTCAGATCTCTCATAGTGCGTCTAGGATATGTGTAATCTCCGTTGAGACTCCCCGTTTATGTTATGTCTTTCTTTCCACTTGGACATTTTCCTGCGGATTTTTGAGATGTTCATACACTTGCTTTTTGCCTCATTCCTAACCTGCGCGTCTGAAGAGAAGAAATCCCAGCCAGAATATGGAGGGTTGGATTAGGAGCCGGGGTGTCTTCAGACTAACCTTTTAATGTGGTATTAATCAGTATTTAATATAAAACTTGTAATGCTGAGTATCTACTTATTTCTCTTTAGCCAATTTTTCTGAACAAGTAGTAGACAGTCTTCCAGCTGATGTGTCCACTGGCATTTACTATGGCTGGGCCAGTGTCGGGAGTGGAGATGTCCATAAAATGGTGGTGAGCATAGGATGGAACCCATACTACAAGAATGTGAAGAAGTCCATGGTAAGAGTCACATTAATTGCACACGGAACTCCTCAGCGTACCAAGGGTTTCAGTAAAGTATCAAACGTGGTGGTGAGGAATCACTGAGTTCAAGAATAATTTAAAACCAGGTGTGGTGTCATACACCTTTAATCCCAGCACTTGGGAGGTGGAGGTAAGATTTCTGTGAGTTCAAGTCAGACTGGTCAGACTGGTGAATTCTAGGGAAGGTAAGACTACATAGAGAGAGACCCTGTCAAAACACCAACAAAACAAAAAGAATAGCCGGGGCTGTATGCTGTCCTACATTTCCACTTCATTCCTGCTCCTTTCCCCTCCCCCACCACTTACTTTTATTTGAGTGGATATTTTTCCTCCGTGTTTTTTTCTTTGAATATGGTGAGTCTCCCCATGAGGGGCATGCACATATATTTGAATAAGGTTTTCGTAATAATTTTCTGCTAACCTCTCTGACAAGTTAAATCCATTTAAATTAAATATTTTATTTTCAATTGTGTGAATGTCTGTGTGGGTGTGCACATGGACTCAGGTAACCATGGAGGCCAGAAAAGGAAGCAGGATCCACTTTAAGAGCTGTCCAGTGTGGGTGCTGGGAACAAAACTCAGGTCCTCAATGCTCTTAAATGAACTATAACCCCAGCCCTCCATTTAAAATTTAAAGTAACTTGCGCAGCCACACTGTTGGGCATTCCTAAAATTCTAATACTTAGACGATGATGCAGGAGGATGACAAAAATAGCCCGGATTATATTGTGAGACCCTATCTCAAAAAAGAGTAATTTCTGATATTGCTTTTTTGTTTTCAGGATGTCCTATATTAAAAGTGGTAATTTCCCTCAATATTATCTCTTTTATTAGATCATTTTTCTTTTTGAGACACCCTAATGCTAGATGACAGACTTGGGCTACCTGGAGCTGAAACACTGTTTTTGTAATTGCCCATGCATCTATATTTATCAGAAATAAAAGTGAGGTATTGTTTGTTTTTGAGACAGGGTGTCACTGTGTAACCCTACCTGCCTGGAACTCAGAGATCCATCCACCTGCCTCTGCCTCTCCAGTGCTGGGGCTAAAGACCATCATGCCCAGCTGTTTTGTTCAAGACATGGCCTCCTATTTAGCCCAGATTGGTGTGGAACTCACCAGGTAGCCCAGGACCCCAAGATACTTTCTCCTCAGCCTTCTAAGTGTTGGGATTACAGGCATGGGCCGCCTAACAGGCTCAAAAGTGAGGTTCTTTCAAAACCATTTCGTAGAATTGGTCTTTGCCACAGTCAGTATTTCAGGGTTTTCTTGCTTGATTGCCTTTAGACTGCTTACTGAGTGTGGCTCAACTTCATTCCTGTTCTCTCTGTGTTTTTTTAAACATTGCTGGGAATCATATCCAGGACCACAGCATAATAGACCAGTGTTCTGTTTAGCTACTCTCCTAGCCCATCTCTAAAATCACCTTTAAGGTATAGTCTTTTGTTGTTGTTATCTGCTTGTTTGGTTTGGTTTTTCCAGACCTGTGCAGCTTTGGAGCCTGTCCTGGAACTTTTTTGTAGGTCAGGTTACCCTCAAACTCACTGAGATTCACCTGCCTCTGCATCCGAAGTGCTGGGATTAAAGGCATGTGGCAAAATGTGTAGCCCAGGCTGGCCTCAACTCATGCTTCTCCTGCCTCCGCCTCTTTCAGCAAATTCTACCGGCGTTCACCACAGCAACTGGCTTTTTTCTCCTGCCCTACTTTTCTCCACAAGAGTCTCCGCAGTTTTAATACTTGTTGGATTTGGGTTAATCTTTTGTAGAATAAGAAAAATGCAGTTAATGGAAGAATTTATTTTGAGGCATAGTGTTGCTAAGTAGCCCTGGCTGACCTTGAACTCATAAGCACCCTCTGCCTCTCCTCCTGAGTGCCAGGGTGCCAGGCCTGTGCCATCACGCTGGATTTTTAACTTTGAGGAGTAATGAGAGAGAAGTGTATCGCTGAACAGAGAACTGCAGAGCTAACTGCTGATATAATAAATCAGTGGCTCTCAGCCTTCCTAATGCTGCAACCCTTCATACAGTTCCCGTGTGCTGACCCCCAACCATATAATTACTTTTGCTGCTACTTTGTAGCTGTCATTTTTCTACTCTTATGATTAGTAATGTAAGCATTTTTGGAGTTGTAGGTATCCCAAAGGGGTCTCCTACAGGTTGAGAACTGCTGTAATAGATAGTAATGACCTTGAACTCTAAGGGTTTGGGCTCTGCTGACTGTTTAGTGGGGTGAAAATTGATGGGGAGATGGGGAGGAGTTGGTAAGAGAGCATGCGCATGCTGTTTTGGGGGAGAGGAACAGGAAGGGAGGAGAGGCTGTAGCATTTCCTTTGTAAACTACTCAGATAAAAGAAATAATAATAAGCTGTTTCTGGACAGCCTAGAATTCTGATAGGAGAAATTCATTTACCCACTGTCTAGATGCTCAGGCATTTCAACACAGGCTGTTTATTTTAATATTATTTGTCAATAACAGCCACTCATGAAAGTCTTGCCCTAATAAAATAGTGTTCTATTAATTTTTGTATAGCCCAGGTTATCGTTTTCCTTTATAGCTAGTGCTTTTAATAATTTAATGGGGATCAAACTCAGGTCTTCTGGATTGGTGCCAGGCACCTTTCCTACCAAGCCCTCACAACATTTGCCCCACCTGTTTTTGAGAAATGGTCTCCAGACCTTAGTGTGATCTGACTGAGTAATGTTGCCTCAGCAGCCGGAGTGCTGGGATTACAGGACCTATTGCCTCTCCTCACGGAGCTGCTTGAGTTTCCGTAGCATTAGAATCTGTACCTCTTCCCCCACTGAGCCTGAGACCCTGCCCGTGTCTAACAAGTCCTTACCATTGAGCTACAGACCCCATGCCCCATCCCCTTTATGTGTTGAGATGGCTTCACTGAGTTGCCGAGACTGGCCTTGAACTTGCTCTGTAGCCCAGGCAGGCAAGATCCTCATATCACAACCTCTCCAAGAAGCTGGAATTACAGGCCTGCGTAAGTTCTCCAGCTTTGTTTTGAAGATTTTCTTGGATACTTCTGGTTTTACCAAATCAGTTGTTAGAATAGCTTGCTGCTTTTTCTGTTGCTCTCATTTTTAAGGGTATTCTTGAATTTGGATATAGCAGAGAATGTGTGCCATGTACTTCCTCTAAATTTTGAAGTTGGGGAAGAAGAGTGCGGCAGCTGTGGCTTTGCCACTCGCTGCTCAGTTAGCTGTCTCAGGCTCTGAGCAGTCTGGAGGCACAGGCTTGCAATCTCAGTCCCCAAGAGGCAGAACCCAGGGGGGCTCACAGCCACGCTAGGCTGCTGCTAGTGCTAACACGGAGTGTTAACACACTGAATGAAAGGCTGGGGTTTGATCCACAGCAGGGAAAGGGAAAAGAAGACCATGCCTGGAGTAAAAGAGGATTAATTTTAGACTTATTTTTAAAAACTAGTTTCTCTCTGGGTGAAGGTGTGGCACACTTAATCCCAGCACTAGGAGGTAGAAGCAAAGAGTTCTAGGCCAGTCTGGTCTACAGAGTGAGTTCCAGGACAGCCAGGGCTACAGACAGAAACCCTGTCTCAAAAACCTTTCCCTCCTTTTTGGGTCTGAACCATATTTCAAGTGTACTTGGTTGGTTATCATGTTAGGTAAGAAATATCATATTCTTGGGCTTGGTTTATTTTTAAATAGGTCAATCATAATTTGATTTTTAAATGTCTTGCTCTGAATGATTATAGCTGTACTCAAGTGTTTGTGATAGATGTTATGATAAAACGTGTGGGGGACCTTGGCGGATTCCATGAAGGCAAGGTTGACGGAGGCGGAAGACAAGCATGCCAGGCCGACAGAGCTTTTAAGTGAGAAATTTATTAGAAAGGAGAGGCTGGGGAAGGAAAGAGAAAAGAGGTAAAGTAACAGAGACAAAGAGAGGACAGAAGAGAAGAGGGAGACAGGAAATGTCCTGTCTGCCCCCAAGGGAGCATAAGTGGGGGGGGGGCTTTCTTTTAAAGGGGTCCTTTGCATCTTCGTGCAGACTGCATAACCATGGAACCCTGACCAGGGCACAGCCTGAGTGCATTCTGCCACGCGACAGGGGCAGACCAGCATAATGTCAGAACCCTTTCAATAGATACTTTCATGTTAAGGATAATTTCATTAACTAGGTATTTTAAAGTCATATACTTAAAATATACCTCAATGTAGATATTTCTAGTTTACATTTGAAATTGCCTGTTTATAATACAATTCTAGTTTGATCTGGTTTAGCCTTTCCTGTCTTGCTTCTGTGAGTGTGAGTTTTGTGTGGGGAGGGTAGTGTGCTTGTGGTCTTTGTAGCCCATGGCAGCCTGGAATTTTATAGGTAGCAGAACTCTGAACTCTGGGTTTCTTACCTCAGTATCTTATGCTGGGGTTGCTGGTGTGCACCACCGTGCCCAACTCTGTGCCTCCTGGTCTTAGTTGTCCTTGTGAGGAAAGGCTGCTAAAACCTGAGTGATTCAGTTGTTCTCCCACATCACTTTAGGGGGCAGGCCTGTTTATTTATTTTAAAAGTTTTTTGTTTTTCTTTCCCCCAGGACAGAATTTCTCTGTGTAACCATAGCTGTCCTGGAACTCTAGACCAGGCTGGCTCAAACTCAAGAGACTCACCTGCCTCATTAAAGACATGGGCCACTACTGTCTGGTTAAATCCATTTATTTTATACATATAAATGTTTTTCCTGCATGTGTGTTCATGCCTGGTGTCAGACGAGGCAGGAAGAGGGTGTTGGATCTCCTGGAACTAGAGTTACACATAGTTATGCACCATCCTCTGAATCCTGGGACTCAAACCTGGGTCTTCTTTCTGGTAGAACAGCTCTCTTGCATTCACCTGGTCGTTGAGCCATCTCTACAGCCCCCCCCATGTTAATCCTTTTAACTCTTTTTGTTTGCAGGAAACCCACATTATACATACCTTCAAAGAGGACTTCTATGGGGAAGTTCTCAGTGTGGCCGTTGTTGGCTACCTCAGGCCAGAAAAGAATTTTGATTCTTTAGGTAAGAGTTTATGTGAATCTTGAATACTCCTAAATGGTCAAGATGATCATTTAATTCATGTTAGGCACTATTTTAAAAGTCATGTACACGTTAATCCCTTTGTCACCCACAGTAGCCATGAGAGGTGCTGGTATGCCTATCTCACTGATAAGGAAATTGACACACAGAGATGAAGTAGCTTGTCTTAGTCTGTTTTCTATTGTTCTGAGTGAATACCAGGTGTTTATTTGGTGCATAGTTCTCGAAGCTGGAGTCATTGGTGAGCATGTGGTCAGTACCTGGTGAGGGCCTTCTTTCTGCCTCAGAGGGTGACATCAGAGGGTGGAACAGACAGGGCTAGGAAGAGTTCACTCTTCTGTCTCAGTCACTCCCTGGGTGCTCAAATCCATCTGTTCCCATGGCCCAGTCACTTCCCAGAGTTTCCACTTCCAAACTTAGGGACACATGAATTCTAGGGCACACCCAAGTCACAGCAGTTAGCTAGTAAGTAATGGCACCTGGCGTCTGTCCCTATTGGTATAGCGTGAGAATTTAAAACCCCACTAGAGAAAGGTTTCTTTACAAGAGAACACTTTATGTAGCACTGACTTTCCCTGGAGAGAGACAGGGTACCAACAGTTATTGAGCCCCTGTCCTTTGTCAGGCATGTGGGGCTAGGGTGGCTAGCCTGTGTGTTTTTAGGAGGGGCTGACAAAAGAGTAGTGAAATGTATTATTAGCATTTTATCTTTTTTCTTTTCTTTTTTTCTAGAATCACTTATTTCAGCAATTCAAGGTGATATTGAAGAAGCCAAAAAGCAACTGGATTTACCAGAACATTTGAAACTCAAAGATGACAATTTCTTCCAAGTTGGAAAAGGCAAAATTACGAATGGTCACTGAAAAGTACCTTATCTTTCCACTAACTGTAGTGTCTCATTGCCTGTGATACAGTCTCACCTTGGTCATATTTTAAATGGAACCTTTCTCTGTAGCTGTCCAAGTGGTCTTCAGCTATTACCTCCATCATGATATATATAGTACTGAAAGATTCATTCAAAAATCAAGACTTAATATGTTGATTAAAATGTAGCACTAGAAAGCTAGTGTCTTGAAGTGGAAATAAAGTCTGTGAACGTGGGTGGAAGTGAAGGCTGGCTGCTGTTCTCATAACCATTGCGCTGGCGCTGCTATACAGGCCTTTTCCCGGGAAATGCTGTGCACGGAACTTCCCCGGGGAGGAACATCTAGAGTGTATTTTTATTATGTTGTGTATTTTACAGAGCTACAAGTTTGTTCCCATGAAGTCATTCATTTTAGTGTCCCCGTGCCTGTACATACAGAGTTACTTCAGCTTGAAGTGGCTCCAGTTGTCCCCGCGTTAGGGTTGTTGCTTTTCTCCCCCATGCTGAAGATTGAACCCAGGGCCTTACACGATAGACAGGATGACCGCTGACCCCCAGCCGCCTGTGCTTTTTAAGCCATACGGTGTCTTGCTTTTGTGTTGTTAAATTCCCCTTTAAAGAGTAGGTGTTCTTGCTCTTTAACTGGTTTTGGTTTGATTCATTTGCCCTCCCTTTAAGTGACTGATGTAATTTGATTGGAAATATCCTACAATCGTGTGCTCTAGAAACTCTGTATGCCATCCCATTCATTACCGTGTGAATGGTGGTCAGTGCATGTAAAAGCAGCTTCATTATAGGCTTCCTTGGGATTGAAATGAACACAATCATTCACATACATATATATCAGTTTCTCTCTCTCCTTTTGAGACAGATTTCCATTATATAGCTCTGACTGGTTTCAGATTCAATAGAGATCCAGCTCTGTTTGCACTGAGATTAAAGGAATGCCCCACCAGGTTTGGTTATAACAGCTTCCTAAAAGAACATAGAATACTTGTTTTCTCCTTAGGGAAACTAATAACTAAATTGATGACCTAGAAGTATTTTTTTTTCTAAAGTGTGGTCCCATGTTTTGAAAGTAAATGTAAATCTGTGTGGCTCTGTATTGACAGCTACTTCATTATAATGTATTGCTCATTGTAATGAGTCCTTATAGTTTTAGTTAAATATCTTTGTATCTCCCAGTTTCCCTCTTACTCTTGGTGGCTTGAGTTCTTTACAGTTGAAATTGGATTACAGATCACTTTGTGCCCATCAGCATATAGAATCATTGCTGTATGGCAGCAGATTTGCTGGTTTGGAGGCACTGCCTGGTGGGAGGGTACACATTAACCTATGTTTTTTGGATTTGTGTGTGTGTGTGTTTGAGATGGTCTCTCTGTGTAACCTTGGCTATCCTAGAACTATGTAAACCAGGCTGGCTTTTAACTCAAGAGATCCACCTACCTCTGCCTCCTGAGTACTGGGATTAAAGGTGTGCATCACCACCGCCCAGCAAATGAAGGCAATTTTAACCACATATACATGTAATTCGTGCATGTGTTTTGCAAGTGGGGTGTGGTGAGGATGGAACTTAGTCAGCCTTATGAATGCTAGGCAAGTGCTCTTCTACCGAGCTATATCCCTAGCCTTGAAAGTAGAATTTTTGATGATGGAAGTTCCATACTTAAAGGAAGCCTTAATTATCAGTGAGTTTATGAAGCAAAGGTAAAAACAAACATGGAAAGTACAAGAATAGATTTGTGTTTATTCAGTAAGAATAGCTTGCTGTCAGTTACGTTTCATTAAGTGTATGAAGGAATGCTCATTGCTAATGTCATCTCACATTGTGTTAAACAGTGATTGCTTTGTAATAATTGTATGGTGTGTGGTTTGGAGGTTAGTTCTCTGGACTTCTGTATTGTTGAGTATTATAAGAAATTATAGTACCACTTTGATTAGCCTGAGTGTTTTCAGGCCTTGAAATAAATTTTGACTATGTGTTACTTTTTCCTTTTCCTCCTTAGCTTGGTCTTCTCTGTTTCAAATTTCCTGGCTTATTGTTGCTTTAAGGTATGCTTATGACCCTGAACAGACCTATCAAGTAGTGGTGCCCTGTAAGACTAAGCCTTGCCCTCAAGGACACCCCCACCCAGCCCTTTCCATAAGCATCTTCCCTTTCTAACTTTGAGACAAGGCTTCTGAATCCCTAGCTGGCCTCGAATATACAGAGATCCGCCTGCTTCTATCTTCTGAGTTCTGGGATTAAAAGTACATCAAGCCTGACCAAGATTCCCCTTCCCCCTTTTATGCCTGTAGCAAGGTGCTTGGGTTTACTTGGGAAGTACTCAAAAGGATATGAGTACTCAAAAGTCAACGCTTTGAGACTGAAGGTTCCCATTGGGAGTTAAAGGAAGCAGAAAAGTTTAAATCTAACTGCCTTGTGTAGTCCTTAGTTCTGTAACTGTGGTTTGTGCCACCAGCCACACATCGATGTGGGACATTCTTGCTGTTTGCTACATATAAGTACATTTCAGTACTCATCTGGACTCTTCTGGAATGGCTTAGCAGCTTGCAATTAGGGTACTCATATAACAAGGATGTGTAGGGACCAGTAGCTTGGAAGTCAAGAGGACAGTTTTGCTTTCCTGATGCAATTTCTGTGTTTTCCTCTCCTCGACCTGGAGGAGCAGATGTGAGAGAGATGGAGGAGAGTCAGTTGCCCCTTTAGAGACTGACCTAGGACACAAGGCAACACTGCCAAAGGAAATGCCATCATAAGGACAGGTCAGAAACATTGGAGAGCACGTTTTCCATAGATGGCAAGTAGTCTGAGAACTCGAAATGGCTAATAGAGAAAAAGGAATGGTAACATGCTCCTGGAGCTGTAGCACTGGGGAAGCTGAAACAAGGTCACTTCAGCCTGATGAGAACAGCAGGACCCTCTTAGGAAGGGAAGTGGGGCAGGGTAGGTGTATAGTGTGGTGCTGGGGTTATACTTGGCATGGGAGGCACTGGCTTCAGTCTCCAGCACCAAACCCAAAGCAAAACCAAAGCTTATATTTGGAGAGTGTTTGGAAAGTTGGGAAACAGGATGAACTTTTGAGTTGGCTCTTTGTTCTTTTGTTTTGTTTTTGTTTTTCTACAGAATTTTTCTGTGTGTATAGACTAGGCCCACTTGGAATTTATTGAGGTCATTAGGCCTCAGCCTCCCAAGTGTTGGGATTATGTATGCTCTACTATGCCTGGCCTCAGTAGTACATACTCTGTTGTGCTACAGATCAAACCTCAAGTCACATGAGTGCTAGGCGAGCAGTCTGCCATTTGAACTACATCCCCCAACCTCTGGAACCCTTAATGTCACGACTTATTTGTGTTGAGAACATTTAACATATTTTATGATGACTTATAATTTGAGATAGGGTTTCTCTACATGCCCCAACCCGCAGGACATTCAACGTGGGGACACCTAGGAGAAAGATGGGGGACAGGAGATACGAAGAAAGACAAGACAGGATTCTGATCAAGTTGACAACTTTATTTCATCCCAAAGGGATTTATATAGGGGAAGGAATGGGGGTGTGCTGCAGCTGTAATGAGCCTGGCAGAGCAAAGTTCAGGGGGATGGGTAGGTAATCCTGTGTCCTCTGGTAACCTAACTGCAGATTCTAACTTTATCTTTCACATTCTTCCTTCTATCATACAAGCCTACGCCCTAGCGACTAGGCAGATAAGCCTCAGGTCTGTTTTCTCAGAACTTGCTTCCTATCTTTTTTTTTTTTTTTTTTTTTTTTTTTTGGTTTTTCGAGACAGGGTTTTTCTGTGGCTTTGGAGGCTGTCCTGGAATTCGCTCTGTAGACCAGGCTGGCCTCGAACTCACAGAGATCCGCCTGCCTCTGCCTCCCGAGTGCTGGGATTAAAGGCGTGCGCCACCAACGCCCGGCTGTGGTATTTCAGCAGTGTGACCTGGAGTCACATCTTCTCTATGAGGAAGGCGTGATAATGCTATGGCTGAATTATGGTGAAGGCCCCCAACATCTACATATAGTTTTTGCTGATCTTGAACTCAAGAGATCTATCTGCCTCTGCCTCCCAAATGCTAGGATTAAGTGTGTGCCACCATGCCCAGCTTATGTTGGTTTGTTTCCTGTTTTATTATGCATGCATGTTGTAGGTGGGTAGGTGTGTGCACCACAGTGGATATTCTCTTCTAAGTGGATCCCTGGATAGAATTCAGATTGTCAAGCTTGGCAGCTGGTGCCTTTTTAGAGACTGTCTTGTTACATTGCTCAGACTGGCCTTGAGCTTAAAATCCTACCTGAAACTCCCAAGTGCTGGGTTTACAGGTGTGTGCCACTGTGGCTGGAATGTGAATGTATCTGGTTTTGATCAGTCAACTTGCTTCTTCCTGTGGAGGTTCATGTTCTCCAGTTTCACACCAACACTTTAATTTTATGTTTTTGAGTGCTTGCCTGAATGTATGTCTGTGTACCAAATGCGTACAGTGTCCAAGGAGGCCAGAAGAGGGTGTCATTATGTCCTGAGAGTAGTGTTATAGGTAGTTTTTGAGCCACCATATGAATATGAATACTGGGAATTGAACCCATGTCCTCTAGAAGAGCAACCAGTACTCTTAACTGCTGAGCCACCTCTCCAGCACCCCCCTCCCAAGGAATTTCATTTTCTATACAGTGTATTCAAGAGCTACATTTAATGTTTTGGGGATGTAAGAACTGGCAGTCACCGTAGGGCATGAGGTGTGGGTTCTGTCCAGAGCCAGGTACCCTAATTTACTGTTATCCTAGTCACTCAAGGAAATTTCATCAGGACAAAGGTCCTTTTAGACTGTTTTGAGTTTTCCTTGATTTTTTGGGACTGAGTGGGGAATATATAGGTTTGATGGCATTTCACAGTAAAGGTTGCCCATGTAGTTTTTGTGTGAGATGCAATGTGTGTGTGTGTGTTGTGTGTGTGTGTGTTGTGTGTTGTGTGTGTGTGTGTGTGTGTGTGTTTCTTATTCATTCACGTGAACTGCACTTTCTTTCCAGTGATCCCTAGCTTTGTAAATAGAGTTCTGATGTCACAATCCTGGAGAGGTCAGGCTGGGTGAGTGTGGCCTGCCCTTCAAAGCATACGAAGATGTCCAAGTAGTTACATATAAAATTAACCATGTGACAGGAAATGAGAAAAGGAGAGGGAGGAAGGGGGAGAGAGAGAATGGTTGAGAGCACAAGCAAGCTTTCCGAAAGTCATAAACTTCCCTTAAAACTGACAGTGGTAGTTTACAGTTGTACATAGTCCAAGTTTATAACACAAGCACAGCCACCACCACATACTCTCTCAGATGCCTTGGCCAGTGTGGTGTGGAGATAAAGGGAAAATAAAAGCTAGCCGGACTGGAAGATCAGTGTAAGGATTTTCCTCATGTGGGGTGTGTATGCGTGTGTGCGTGTTATGCTCTTGAGCCACTGTGCATCATATAAGTGTGGAAGTACACCCCCCTCCCCAACCACCAGGAGGTGGAAGCTGAAGGATCATAAATTCAAAGTCATTCTGGGCTACAAAGCAGGTTTGAGGCCAGCCTGGGCTGCATAAGATTCTGCAATCAATCAATCAATCAGTCTGCAAATCAAGCAAGGCGCACTGGTACATACCTACACTCCTAGTACTTGAGAGACCGAGGCAGAAGGATATAGAGTTCAAGGTCAGGCTTGTATCAAAATAAAGGTGAGTTGTTATAAACACCTTTAGGCAGGCTTATCTCTGAATTTGTGGCCAGCCTTGGCTGCATAGAGCCTGTCTCAAACAAACAGAACCAACAAAAGTGAAAAACTGATATCCAGCTTTTAGCAGGACAGAGAAATCATCCAGGTATTATACAGCTGGGCTGCAAAGGGAGCCACAAAAGCAATTAAGGACGGTGGAGTTTGACCCAAGGGTGGATGGAGAAAAGTCCCAGTTCCAGGCCTAGGAAAAGAGAGGTTCTGTAGCATCAGCACAAAGCTCCTTCAGGATCCCGCTGAGTCAAGGCAGATGAATCAAAGTCCAGCTGCAGACATTATCCAGGATTCTGCATGCAATCACCTTCTGATTTAGATTAATTTGACATGCGTCTGTGTTCCAAGAGCAGATCAATTCTAAAAAGTGCCATTAACGCTATCCTTGAGAGGACTCCAGAACCCGGGCCAAAAGCAACCTTTTGACAATGCTGCAACACCCAGTTCCTGCTGTTTCATTTGCTCCCACCCAGTTGGCTGACCTGGTCCATGGCCTTAACCGGCCCTGCTTACACAGCTCTAATTTCCATCTCAAGGCTAAAGTCCAGGTGATCACTACTTCCTATAAGGTGCTGACTGGTTGGACTCAAGTGGAGGTACGTCACACGATACAACATTGTCCTTGTTGGGGCACGGTAAACACCCCAAACTGTGGCACATATTGAGTGATGTGAAACTTCACAGTGTCAAAACTTTCTGCATTCCTGTTTCTCAGCCTTTTCTCCCATGAAGCATGTCATAGAAACTAGAACTTCTTTTCCAACAAGCTTAAAACTAAAGTTAGTAGTCTAACTACCCTCCATCTGCCTTTCTGTCTAGGAGACAGTCATAGAGAAGTTCCCTGTGCTGAGCTGGAGAGGCCTATCACATTTCCATCCCTGGGGAGGCTGATGGAAGACGATACAGGAGAGAAGGCCAAAACAGGAGGGAAGAAATTCTCTGACTGGCCAGTTTCTAATAGGTGTGGTATTTCACACATACATAACCCCGTCCCCCAAGGTTCTTTGCTTGGAATTCCTATCAACACAAGTCATAAAAACTCAGATTTCTTTTTTGTATAGGGGTTTATAAACTCGAGCCTTAGTATCTTTCTGCATTGGAGATGACTATCAATCTTATCACCCATTCTTGTCCAATAGGATGGTAATAAGACCCTTCACCCCCTAGAGGCCTACTGCCCCAGATCATGGTGGGAGAGATTCTGAGTGGAACATTAAAGATGTCAAGGC